CCAGCCTGGATTGCCTTGACATGTTTTTTTCTGAATCAGACCGTCAGTAACCCAACCCAGGTCACTCACCTTGAATATTCATAGAATCAAAGAATGGTTTGGGTTGGAAAGGACCTTAAAGATCGTTTTGTTCCCACACCCTGACCTGGGAAGGGAGACCTTCCAGTAGACCAGGTTGCTCCAAGCCTTGTCCAACCTGGCCTTGGACACTTCCAGGGATGGGGCAGCCACAGCTTCTCTGGGCAACCTGTGCCAGGGCCTCCCCACCCTCACAGGGAAGAATTTTTTCTTAATATCCTGTCTAAATCTACTCTCAGTTTGAAGCCATTTCCCCTTGTCCTGGCACTCCATGCTCTTGTAAAAAGTCCCTCTTCACCTTTCTCGTAGGTTCCCTTGAGCATCAGTCATTGTGTCTCTGTGTAAGGCACATTCACATTTGATTTTCCAAAGCCTCATTGGGGCAACAAGTCCCAGGAAGAGCAAGGAACAGGGCACTGGGACATCCAGGTAACAACACAAATCGAGGAGCAAAAAACCCCACTCCCAGTTTGATGTACAAAGCTTTGTAAATGCTGGAACTTTTTTACCTTACTTTAACATGATAGTTTTCCATGTGCAGGCAGAGGGGTGATGTTGGTGCTCAGAATCCACCCTCCTCTTACTCCTGCTCCACAGCCTGGCACTCTCTGGATCAGAACTCCCTCATCCTGGATCCTTCTGCAGGGTTTGAGTCTCTGTTTCCCCGTGGATCTGGCTGTAGGACTGGGGCCCTTGCATGCAGAAATCCCTTTTGCCATGAACGTATTTTAAATACAAGCTTCTGAATTTCATTACGTGCTGCCTTTTCCTCTTCCATTCGTTTTCCTCCTAACAATGCACCTGCCAATATCTGCCCCTGAGCTCCATTTTAAGCAGCGTTTTCCATAGTTAATGTCACACTCTTGCTCCCAATCTATCTTTGGCAACTGCTGACTGCCTGCAGCAGGACCAGAGGAAGAGGGAAAGCCCTCCCTGGGTATAACAATAACACAACACCCATTCCTGGAAGAATGATGAGATAGGCTGTGTCATAAATATTTATAAGAGTGAGCGTAATGAAATGGATGTGTGGGATGCTGAGTGTCCCTTAGGGTTTGGTCATCACATGTTTTTTCCCTCTTTTCTTTCTTCCCTGTGATACAGAATTGTCCTGATGTCCCCGGGTTGTCGAGCAAATTGCTCATTGTGTTGCTCACTTACACAATGCATGTTATTATGTGCAACCAGCTGCTCCTGTTTGGCATTGCTGGCGCATACGGAACAAGAGGCTACCGCCACTTTCCTCGTCTGGAAGTCAACGCTCCCTCCAGCGCCAAAGTTGCTGCCAGACCAGAAGAAGTCTGGGAACAAAGCGAGTCCTGGTGGTAGAGTTCCCCGAGAGACTCCCTTTCTGGGAACACCGAGGTTGCAGTTTTGCAATGAGTTTGAGCTGATCCAGCTTTGTGCTGCTGTTGAAAGCTTCCTCCTGCCTCTGTCTGTATATTCCTGTGGCTTTCCTTGTGTTGGCACTAACTCCTGGGTGATTGCATGGGGAGCTGGAGCAGGGGACTGATTTTGTTGTTATTGTTGTCGCCAATTAAGTTTTCAGCACCATCCTTTCCTCTGTCCAGCTCCAGGCTCATTCAAGCACTAATGCTGTCACAAAGGAAAGAGCAGCCAACTCTTCTGGTAATTAGAGCAGCTTAAATCAGTCATAAAATGTCAACCTCAGCGCTGCAGCCCTGTCTGGAGTCAGGGATAGTCAGAAACCAGAGCAAGGCTGTGTTTGAGACTGGGAAGTTTAATCCTGCTTGGGAGAGAAAGTACCTAAGCTGTGAATCTTCTTGCTCATTGCTGCTTTCTCTCTGAAACAGCTTTCCCGCTGTTGTTCTTTTATTTTAGGGGGTCTTTTTTTTTAGCGAGCCTTGTTTTTTACCTGCATTTGTTTAGTATCTTCCACAATTAGATCCACATATTCTGAATCCTACATGGAAGTGGACATGGGCTGTTTAGTGTGGGTTTGGATTCAGAGCCTGGAGAAATTCTGGTTCAGATCTCTCTGTAACACATGCTGCTGGGCTCCGGGGCCCTTGCACTACACTAGCCTTTCAAAAGCACAGATACCCCCTTGGCTACAGGCTGGATGAATGGGAAAACCCTAAAAATTAGGGTTTTGGCCCTTGAAATGGGACTTTACACCCTAAAAACGTCTCTGGATGTTCAAAATGCCTGCTGAGCTAAACAAATTTATAGCAGCTTTTGCTGGATTTCTTTAGTTAGCTGTTATTCCTGGGATCTCAAACAAACAGAGATATGTACTCTCCATACACCTGACTCACCAAAAAAATTTTGGAGCACAGAAATAATGTCTCTTAAAGGGGGAACAAAAGGCTGAACTACAAACACCTGCCACTTACTGCTGCTGCTCTGCCCGTCACACTTTCTTCTCTCAAAGTATCAGAGGTTTGCAGCTATTGAAAGGCAGAAAGAAACTCCTCATGGGCAGGAATGGGAACGCTGGGAAGTCTGCAGCACATAAATGGTGGGTTTTTGCAGCTCTAAGTATTGGGGCAGAAATGCCATTATCCAGGGAAGGAATGTCCCTTCTCTTGGCAGGGCTGCTGTCACTTTGTTCTTTACAGACTGACAGTCAGGGAGTTATCCACTCCTTCCCAAATCTACAAAGTGACTCCTTCTCCAGGTTCTCCCTCCTGTGTGAGTGCCACGGGAAGTGATTTCACCTCTGTGAGCAGACTTGGTGTCACTCCTGCAGAGCACAGGTGTTGTCAGTGTGAAGGAGCTGGTGCTCCGGGTGACGTTACTGCTGCTCTCTCAGCTCAGGGGCTCTTTGCCAAGTCGTCTTTTTTTCTTTTCCCCGGGGATAGATATTCAAGGAATATACATTGCAAGCTTGGGTTTGTCGAAATGCTGGTTTCATTCCTGTTTCCACAGACGTGCGGGAAGACAGAGAGGTGCCACGGAGGAATCAAGTAACACGAATATCAAAGAGCTAAGGCAGGAGTTAGACCTGGGTCTTTCAAAGCTGGTGGCTGCTTCTAACCTGTTGACACGGAGCTGGATCAACGCCTTAACACAGGCAGGTGCCCTTAGCCAGAGTGTGCAGTATCTTGCAGACCATTAGCAATTTTCATTATTTATATTACCCTAGACTTGCCTGACTGCAAGGTAAAGTCTTTCTTGCTTAAAGGGAGGGAGAAATGCCTGGGATTTGAGGAAAAAAGGGCAGAGCTGTGTCTGAAAGAAACCCCTGGCAGGCACAAGGAGATATTCCTCTACAGCCTGCATAAAGCAATTTGACAGCAGCCTTAAAACCACCTCACACAGAAAGGAGCAAGTGGGAAAGGCCCAGAGAGAAAGGAGGGTTTGTGGATATTGTTAATCTTTACCTCTACACTGGAGTAGGGCAGAAGGGAGTGTGGATATTACTATCCCCTTTTCTTTCCCCAGGGAGGTGAGCAAATGGATGGTGCAGGAATGGGGTTACTGGATTTGCTGTGTCCTTATTACCCTCCTTCCCAGCAAGGTGTGCTGTGAGTGTCCACCTGATGCTGGGCAAAGCCTCCCTGTACATCTGTCCAGAACAGGGGGCTGCTGCCTCCCAGGGCTTGTCTGTGCTGACAGTGCCAAGTACGAACTTACAGTTGCATCACTCATACTCACAGGAAACCTGCTTCCCTCCACGCAGCCTTTCTGGTTTCATTTAAGGTTTTATAGCTCATTATACAAGCTAATAAATAGGAGGATCTGGATTAAAAAGGTTTCTTTTTTAATATTCCGCATAGCTGGAGCCCTTTCTGCATTCCACCCCGCTGTGATAAAACATCCTGGTGCGCGGGGCAGCTTCATCTCTCTTCAGAGGCCAAAGCAGACCTGCTCCAAATGCGGCTGCCCTGGTGTTCGGTGCCACGTGCCAAAAGAAGGTCTTGGTGTCACTTTCCCTCAGGACCAAACCTGCACCTGTGGCTTTACGGGTGTGTGGAGTTTGTGTTTGGGACCCAGCCAAGCCGAGCCGGGAGCAGCAACTTCGGGCTCCATCTCTCATCTCCCTGCCTCATGGAGATGAGCTGGGCTGGTGGAGGGGTCCTGCCTCTCTCTGCAGTGATGGGGTGCACACGTGCCACACCGTGGGTTTTATTTGCTTTATTTTTACAGACAGCTGAGCAGAACAGGCTAGGCTTTGACGCCCAATGAACGACAACACCCGGAGGAGCTGTGCCTCGAGACTGAGCCCCAGCAAAGCGATGGCGATGCGGTCTCTGGTGTCCGGTTCCCTCCGCTGCCCAGCCCGGTGGTCAGCGCGGGGAGCCCCGGCAGCACCGACGGGCAGCGGGGCCGCTGAGGCGGCACCGTGAGGGGAGCGCGGCGGCTGCGGGCGGCGCGGTGCCCTCCGCGCTGCCCCGTAGCCAAACCGGAAAAAAACCTAAAGAGTTTGAGGAAAATATTAACTAAAAACCCCATATAAAATGTTATAAATGCTTGTGGCTTGTGGAGCCGCCGGCGGAGCTCCGCACCTGCCGTGCCCTCCTCCCTGAGGGAGCGGGACCGGCCGAGGCGTCCCCGGGCACCACCGTGAGGGGAGCGCGGCGGCTGCGTGCTGCGCGGTGCCCTCCACACTCACGCGTGGCAAAACCGGGGGAAAAAAACCCTAAAGAGATGTGTGTGTGTGTGTGTGCGTGAAATTAATTTAAAACCACACATATAATGTTATAAATGTTTGCGGCTTGCGGAGCTGCCGGCGGGTGGAGGAGCCCCGCACCTGCCGTCCACCCACCACCCTCCCCGCCTCAGCGAGCGGGGCCGCTCCCCCCGCCCGGGCTGGCAGCAACCTGTTGGTGCGGGCGCTGCCGGGCGGCGGGAGGAGCCCCTCGGAGGGGCGGCCGGGCCGCTGACAAAGGCGGAGCAGCGGCAGCCCAGGGCCGCCCCCGGCAGCGGGGCCCGGCGGGCAGCGCGGGGCTGGGGCCGGGGCGCTCGCACAAGATGGCGGTGGGGCGGCGGGAGAGCGCGCTCCCCTCGTAGATGCGGCCGCGGCGGTCCCTGCTCCCGGCGCCCGGCGGGGCTTACATGGCGCTGGAGGACCTGCTGCTTTGTCTCTGCTTCTCCGTCCTCGCCGTCCTGGCCGTGCAAGGTGGGTGAGGAGGGGAAGGAAGGAGGGTGGGAGGGAGAGAGGGAAGGAAGGGGTCGGTGCCCCCCAGCCCGCGGGCGGCCGCGGTGCCACCTGCCCTCGCTCGGGCAGCGGACGGTTCCGCGGGGTGGGCTGCCCGGACGGGACCCTCGCACTGCTGGTTCTCCCCCGTACCAGCCCTCTCTCCTGCTCAGTGACCATTCTCCCACAGTCACCCTTTCTCCCCTTCAGTGGCCGTCCCGTCCCTCCGTGGCCATTCCCCCCTCTCTCCCCCATCCCCTTCTTCCCCCCCGAGTCGGGCGACAGCTGCGCCCGTGGCCTCAACCCGTGCCTGGAGGGTGCCTCCTTTGGAGTCACCCTTGGAGGGTGACCCTGGGGGTGACACCCTCTCGTTTGGAGGGTGACACTCCGCACAGGGCCCCCCCTCAGTGGCTGGGTTGGCGGGGGCAGTGGACCAGCAGCAGCGTCCTCCGGTCCGTGCCTGGACAGTGGCGGGTTCCCTCCGGAGGGACAGTGGCCGTGCCAGGCTGGCCGGGGATGAAGCGCTTGTCCGGCGTGGCGTGGCCAGAGCAGGCCCAGGTGTGTATGGTGGGGACCCTCGCTGCCCCTCGCTTCGCTGCCGCCGGCACGGAATGTGTGGCCAGGCAGATGTCCCGTTGGTCAAGGAAGTGACCCAGGGGTAGCCACGCTCCTCGTGCCCGAGTTTTGCAATGGTTACGCAAACGGCTCCGTGCGGGGACACACGTACACGGCCGCCGGGCACGTTTGGGACTTTCTGCGGTTGCTGTCGAAGTTTGCACCGAGGGTCAGTCAAACTGTGGACCTTGGTGTGCACGGTTCATTCCCTGTGCATGCACGAAGGTGCAGGCTGGCAGAGTCACTCTGAAAAATGTGAGCTGTGGACTTGCTCTCGTTTAAAATCCCTCCTAAATGGGTTACTTGTGGTGGAGGAACCATCCCTATGTCATTGTACATTTTTATTCCTTTTATGATGCATTCAGGTTTGGCAGAGCATAATAACAGCACGTGGATGGCTGCAGGGTTGTTTTCTTTCTTTTTCTTCAGAACATTGTGAGCTGCTGTAAAAGGGGTAGGTTATGAGTCGACATAGGTGCTGTGGTAGAAGTGAATAACGGTACATGTAAATGGGCCATTGTCACCAGTGCCTGTGGGTTTTCCTGGATGGATGGCAAGCTCTGACCCCACCAGCAGCTGGGCTGGGTGGGAGCTGCATCTCCTGTGTGTTTGAGCAAACAGCTAAGTGGATCCCGAGGCTTGTAATCGAGAACAATGATCTTTAAAAAAAAACCAGAAAAAGTGGGGGTGGTGGAGTGGATGTTGTTTTTCCAAACCCACTTCAACGAGAAAAGTTCAAATGCTTTGCGGGAATTTACAGTTGTGGCTTCTCGGCGTTTTTTGTGAGCAATTAGGCAACGAGTGAAAATTGTTTCTGTTTGTTTTCTAACAATGGGCCACATCTTGTGTAGGGAGGCAGGGAGTGCTTGGTACATGCGGATGTGCTTTCCAACAGGTGGGTTTGATTCTGAAAAGAAAAACATGGACTTGTTTCAATATGAAATTAATTTGGCAGAGGGTTGAAATGGTTTTGGGAAAGTCTGTGTTTGATCCCAAAACCCATGTGTTTTCATCCAAAGTTCAAACCTTGCTGGGTATGGAGTACCTAAGAGAGAAGTGGAGTGGAAAACCTTCCCCCCCCTCTGGACTTGATGGAAGCAGTGGCACTTGCTGGGGATGTGATCCAGTGTTTTTGAAAGCCTTCTGCTGTCTGACTTTGAGCCTGTTTTCCCTGCAGTAGCAGGAAAGTATTTAAGGAAAAAAAACAACCACAAAACAACCCCTCTCCAGTTGACTCCGGCAAGGGGGTTGTGCTGGTGCCATTTCTTGGGGCTCTCTGCAGGGAACGTGTTGATGGGAAGTGGGCTGAGCTTTCCATCTGAGGGATCAGCTGAAAGCCATCTGGGTTTGTGGTTGAGTCCTTTTGCTATGGAACAGATTTCCTTTTTCGACATCACCTTGCTTGAGCCGTGATTTGTTTTATCCTTCCTGTTACGTTCTCCTTGGCAGCATGACCCCGCTGCCTGCTGAGTGCCCGTGCCGGGGAAGTCGGCATTCCCGTTGTTTGGGAATCGCTGTCACCTGCCTGCGGATCCGCCGGCCCTGTGCCTGTGGTGTTGCAGTGTCACGGGTCCGAGGGATGGGTGGTGCAGGGACAGGATGTTTCCTATAGCCCCCAAGAAATGGGGGCACTGACAGTGCCAAACCTCGTGTGCACAGCGAGGGTTTGCCTGTGTCCCGTTTCCAGGGGCAGGTCTCTCCCACCGGAGCTTGCTGCCGCTGTGCCAGGGCTGTTGTGACAGGCTGCTCCAAAGTGGGGAATGTTCCTGCTGGCATTTCACTGTTTCTCTTCTGGTGTGTGAGCCTGAACGAGAAACAGCTCAGGCTTGATTCTGGTTTTGTTTTCCCTACCTTTTCCTTCTTTTTTTTTTAATGCCCTCTCCTTTCACTACCTTGAAGTCCAAAGTGAAGCAGGACCTGCTCGTTTTCAGGCATCTCCCCCCTGTTTTGCAGCAGAGTTTCTCCTGGCAGCTGCAGCAGGTTTGATGTGCTGCAGGGGCCCCACGGGGGTGGGTGACTGCTGGTGGTGCCTGAGCCACCTCGGGTGCAAGTAAGAATGGAAAATAAAATGTCTGGCAAGCTGCCTTTCCTGGGGATGAAGGGAGACGATTCTCCCTGTGTGCAGCCTGGTTTGGAGCTGGCAGCAGCTTCTGTGGGACAGCACAGAGGCATCAGGGCCACATGATTTTGGGAACAGCTGGGCTGGGCTGGGGGTTGCATCCAGGACATCTCACCTGAGTGCCCACTGTGATTCTGGGCCAGTGGCTTCACCTGCCCTGGGATCCTCATGGCCCATCTTTAGACAAATGTAGAGATGTTCCTCTCTGTCAGAGGTGTGGAGAGGATGAAATCCATCCCTGAGGATGTAATCCATCGATAAACGCTCAGCATATATGTGATCTTTGTCACTCTAGTGTACAGCTATCCCGAGGGCAGGGTACTGGGCTGTCCCATGGATTTCTGACTCCTGGTCCCATGTTGCTTGCCAGATGATTTGAATTCTTACCTCCCTCGGAGCTGCTTTCCCAAAGGCTGGCTGTTCTCCCAGGGAAAAAATCCAGGTGCCTGTGAACCAGTCTGGGCATTTGCAGCATAAGAGATGTTGCTTTGCACCATTTACACGCTCCTCTCCTGTTTAAATGGCTGCAAGGCCATTAAGCCTAGTCATGGTTATATAATTAAGATGGGAATTAATATTTAATCTGATTGTAATTTGTTGCTGGAATCCATCCCAAACTGTATCTCTGCATGAGGTGAGTGGGTACCTGAGGGAAAACTGAGGCCAGTGTTACACGTAGGGGATTTTTTGCTTGGACACTGGGAATTACAGGCCTGCCTTGGGTGACAGAGAAACCCTTAACCTTTACAAACCCTGAGTGATCATAGTCATTTTGTTATCAGTAGGAAGCAAATGTTTGTTTTATAGTCAGCTGTAATACTAGAGGGGATATGGTAAATCCCTGTTATCAGTATTTGCCAAGTGCATGTTGGGCCAAAATCAACTCTGGTGCAATTTTGTTACTTTCTGGAGAAGAACTGGACCCACTTTCTACAGTATTTTTAGCCTGGTTTTTGAAGGAGAAGAGCTGTTGTTGTGCCATCTGGTTGTCTGTCCATCTCCCTTTCCTTTTCCCAGTAATTCTGGACGTGCTGGTCAGTCACAACTGGTTTGAATATGGAGAACTTGAAAGTTTTTGCAAATAAGCAACCAAATAGAGGACAGAAATGCAGTTTCTGCATGGACTGAGGGAGAGGTACCAACAAACCTACCTGGGAAGGAACCTGGAGTGCCTCAGCTGCCCGTAGAGCTTTGAGCAGGTCGTGCACCTTGTTTGGGTGGGACGGGGCAATCCACTCACAGCACACAAAGCTGCAGGAAATCACCATCTCAAGTCTTGTAGGCACTTGTTTATTTTTGGAGTCTTTTCTGCTGTAAAACACGCTGTTGTTTTATGATCATACCAGTGTTCACAAGGCTTGGCGACTCTTTTGCTTTCCTCTTCTTGGGAAAGCACTTCCCAAACACAGGACTTGGAGCTGCTGTGACTTTGATTCTTTCCAATGTCTTTGTGATGGTCACTTGCTGTCTCTGCCTCAGTTTCCCCATTTGTTCCTGCTGGGCAGGAGATGCTGTTGCACACTATAAACAGGAAGAACACCATCACTCCAAGTACCCTTCTTGCGTTTATTAAATCTCATGAGTAAGGGACCTCCAAGTTCTGCTTGTGCTTTTCTGACTTTACAGCTTGTTGGTGAGAGGATCCACAGTTGCTAAGACTGAATCTGATCTTCACAGAAAGCAGGATTGAGCTGTGTTTTCACACAGCCCCTACAGAGCTGCTAAACCCCCCACCAGATGTGGGGGGAAGTCTGAAAAGCTTCTAGTTTGTCTGGCTTTGAATATGCTGAAGTCATCCTTGAAACACGGTTGAATCTCCTAATTCTGCAAAGTAATGGAGCCTTCAAGGGAGAGGAAGAGCTGATGAGTGTTTCCTTGCAGAAGGGTAAATATCTGCTGGAACTGCAGCTGCTGAGAAGGGAAATTCCCTGGGAGGGCCCAACCAGGTGCCATCAGCCTTGTTTGAGCTAACACTGCCATGTGTGTGGGTGTCAGGACACTTTGTGAGCGTGGAGGTTGTGGAGCTTCTCTCCTGGACATGTTTTCCTTCATGTCACTGATGCCCTTTGGTGTCTGTGTTTCACTCAGATCCTCTCCTGCTCCTAATCCATGGAATCCTGCTGCTCTGATATGGGCTTGCTTTATCTGAGAAGTCCAGCAGCTGCCGTGTCTTATCTCCGTGGGTAATAAACATACTTTGTGGTGGTTATGATAAGCAATTACTGTATTCCAGGGAAACTTTCGTATC